CTAGGCCCGTAGCCATAGTATGGGCAGCCGCATCCACGGTCACTTACAAGGCCACATGGGAAACAACCCTGCACACCTCCAAGAGGGACTTGAACTCAGACCAGGAGTCCCGAGGGAGAAGTTTGGTGAACTTGTCTGTCACAGTCCAGGAGTTATAAGCATAGCAGCTAAGCAAAACCTGCTGGTTTGCTATGCAGAGCTGCAGCCCTCCTGAGGCTTAGGCTTCCTTCCCAGAAGGTCCATCTTTTTGGTCTCCCTGTTCTTAGGAGTCAGGCCCAGCTGCCCCTGCCTCTCGCACTGGACAACCACGGACCCTGGAGGTGGGACCCTGGGAGAAAAGGTATTTGTTCCCTTATTGAGGCACAAAGTTATGCCTCTACACCTTCTTATCAGCTGGTGGCATAGAGACTGGGATCAGCCAAAGGGTCTTTGTGATCTTAACCACCATTTTATTAAGGGGCAGGGCCACTCTGGTAGAGACGTCGGCTTGCAGAATGTCAACCCTTGGGTCCAAGTCCTCCAACACCATCTCTGGCTGCACACCAGGCTCTGAGCCAGCCAGCGAAGAAGATCCTGGTGTGCTCTCAAGTCCATGGATGGCATCAATGGGAGGGCCCCTCATAAGGCCTTGTCTGGAGATGAAGATGAGGAGCCCCTTTAGACCATCGTCTTTCAGGTCATGGGCCTGAGGAGCCTCCTGGGAGGCTGCTGAGGAGGTCACTGCTGAGGCCTGGGCTGTGGGTGGACACTGACCCTCAGAGCTCTATGTGAGGCCTGGCCCAGAGGCAAGGACTGAACCAATGTAGGGGAATTGAAAGCAGGGTGGCTGAGGGAGGAGCCCTGGACCACAAGTAGCCCAACTCAGGCCTAGTGGGTCCCACTCCCTGTGACCAATGGAAAGCCCAGGGAGTCCAAAAGGGCCACTGAGATGGGTGTTTGTAACTGCGGTGGCCATGACCGCTGTGCTTGCTGGACAAAAGTGGGCTCGGGTGGCAAGGGCTGCTTCTACTGTGGCTGTACGTAAGGGCTGCAGTGGTGGGAGCGGTGCCAGGAATAGCAGCAGTGCCAAGACCTGAACGTGGAAGCCTGCAACGAGAAGACCAACTCTTCCATTGACTCGAAAGAGGCTGACCAGGGTGGTGCCACGGCAGAGGCTAATGGGGCCATGCTTAGCCACAGACTCAGGCTTGCCAGAGTACCAGGAGGAGGAAGGAGGGCGGAGGGGGGAGGGGCGAGGGGAGAAAAGTGGCACAGCAAGCTCCAGTGGCTGCTGCTAAAGGCAGTGGTGTGTTCCCAGCTTGGCTTGGTGCCAGCGCCAGAGAGGGGGATCAGTGCCGGAGCTGGTGCCCACAACAGGGTGGGGGCTTGAACAAGTGCTGGGGTCAAAGCTGTCAGCACCGGGGCAGCCCTGTGGTGCCCCCTTGGGGATGGTGCCGGGGCACTCAGGGCCATAGCACTGACATGGTGCCATCAAGAGTCTCGCTCCTCCTCAAGGCTGATGCTGAGGATGGGGATGAGGTTAGTTGGATGAAGTCCCCCGTAGCCTCAAATGTGTCCGGCGTCGATGGCTCCAAGAGGTCTTCTACAGGGCTAGGATCCCAGTGTAGGTTGGGACAACCCAACCGACCTCGAAGGTCCGGGTACTGAGCCCGTCAGTGCCCTGTGCCTCTCCTGATACCGCAATAGGGACCTGCCTCTGCTCAGTTTCTATTTCTTCTGTGGCACCAGGAATTGGGATTGGTGCCACTGCCTTCTCAGTGCCTGGGAGACTTGAAAGTGGTTGAGTTCCATATGCACCAAAGCCAGTGAATTCTGCATGGCTGACACTGAAGCCAGACAGAGAACCACCTCCATCAGTAGGATCTTCAGGCGGAACTCATGCTCCCACTTGGTGTAGGACTCATGCTCTCACTTGAACCCTCTGCAAATCTTTCAGGACTCAGAAAGATGGGACTCCCCATAGGGCATCAGCTTCAAGCACTTGATGCAGGGCTTGAAGCCTTAGGGCCCAGGCATGCCCCAATGCGAGCGCTGGAAACACTAAGCAAGTCCCCCCATAGGAGTGAAACACCTACTCTAAGAACTATTTACAGAGATAACAAGAACAATTAATAAGAACATTAACTAATCTACAAGAACAAACCAGGTGAGAACTGCTAAAGAGTGCTTGCAGAGCAAGAGCAGAACACGTTCCAATGACCATCATGAATGGTAAGAAGGAACTGAGGTGGTGGAGGGCCAGCAGGGTATATATTAGCTGACATAACGCCGCCACTCCAGGGGGTTACCCTGCTAGCTCAATGGGTACTGCCAAAGGAAAAACTTCCAGCGATGCATGCATGCAACATGCACACATCTACATGGAATGGGCATGAGCAACCACTCAAAGAAGAATGGCCATTTGCAGCTCCAAGTGGCTGTAGTTTGCAATTTCTACTAAATTGACTGCAGTGTACTTTCTGGTTGACTCCAGTACTCCACCAGAATGAGAGTAAGATAAGTTGACAAGATAATGTCTCTTGTTAATGCGACATGAGGTAGATACCGCAGTAAGTTGACCTAAACTACATTGACTATGTACAGGCAGTCCCCGACTTACGCGGATCCGACTTATGTCGGATCCGCACTTACGAACGGGGCTTTTCTCACCCCGGAGCTCGCGGGCGGCGGGACCGCCCAGAGCGCAGTGGTCCCGCCACCGCGTCCTCCGGGGCAAGAAAAGCTGCTCCGGGTCTCCCTGGTGTGCTGGGGGGGGACTCCCCAGCACAGCAGGGAGACCCGAGCAAAGCCGCACAGGCGGCGGGACCTCTGCACGCCTCCGCGGCTTTGCTCGGGTCTCCCTGGTGTGCTGGGGGGGGACTCCCCAGCACAGCAGGGAGACCCGAGCAAAGCCGCACAGGCGGCGGGACCTCTGCACGCCTCCGCGGCTTTGCTCGGGTCTCCCTGGTGTGCTGGGGGGGGACTCCCCAGCACAGCAGGGAGACCCGAGCAAAGCCGCACAGGCGGCGGGACCTCTGCACGCCTCCGCGGCTTTGCTCGGGTCTCCCTGGTCTGCTGGGGGGGAGGGGGCGCAGCTAGTGCGCCCCCCCACCCCCCCAGCAGACCAGGCTTTTGTTGCGGGACGCCTGGGGTAGAGCAGCTGGGGTGCTGCCGGGTTGGTCCTGCGGGGACCTACCCGGCAGTGCCCCAGCTGTTCTGTCCCAGGAGTCCAGATTCAGCCGCTGTTGAAACTGATCAGCGGCTGATTCCAGGAAGCCGGGGGCAGAGCAACTCTGCCTAGGGCTTCCTGTAGTCAGCCGCTGATCAGTTTCAGCAGTGGCTGAATCTGGAGCCAGTTCCGACTTACATACAAATTCAACTTAAGAACAAACCTATAGTCCCTATCTTTTACGTAACCCGGGGACTGCCTGTACTTCATGTATCTGGAGTAGTGTGACATAGAGTGACCTACCCCAGTAATGTAGACAAAGCCTATGATAGCAACAAGAGCTGTCAATTAGGCACACATCAGGAAAACAAAGTGACAAAGGCTCTAACTTGTCTTTAATCTTCATTGGGACTTTTCATGTTTATTGATAAGCACATTCTTAAGTGCTTTGCTGAATCAGGGTCAAAATGAGTCAACTAAAACCTGCACTTAAAAAAATAGATAGAGCAAAGACTAGCAAAGAACTGATTGATCAGGGCAGTAGCTGTGAACACAGTGTAGGCATAAACATTCCCAAAATCTCTCTTGGTGGAGAGGCTTTTCAGTTATAGTACCAACTCAAATATCCAAAATTCAGTTACCCAAAACCTCCTTTTATGTTTCCTGATATCTATTATCTTGAAAATTCTCAAAGCTTTGATTGTACAAATGTACTTGAATATTTAAAATTCAATTTTAATACTTTCAATTTTAATTACATTTAATATAGAGGGCCAACATTTCATAGTACAAAGGAGAACTTTTCACTGGCACTATCTGCTCCCCACTTGCCCAGCAATAGAGCAAGAAGGGATTCCGTTAATGACATTCCAAAGGCATGGTGGAATTACTGATTTCCGGAGGGAACTTATTTCAGTGGTGGTGTAAGTTACAGCTGCTCCTGTACAGCTGTCTTTATCTTCCCTTAAGTGCATCTGAGGAAGGTAAAGTGGAACTTTGGGTAGTATGGAGAATATGCCCCAAGAGGCTGTCTGGCATTTGGCTCATCTTCCTGGGCTTCAATCAATTTTCACTTGGTTCTGAAGAACAACAAAACACTTACTTCAAAGGAAGTAAGTTTCATAATGGAAAAGTTAGTTCTGCAAAGGCAGTAAAATTATTTGCTTATGCAGCAATAAAATGAGTGTCAAACTGAGCGCCAGGTTTTCAAAACACCACTTTCTTCAGATGCCATGCAGCAATGCCAGTTTTATCTAACCTAATCATAGTTTTGAGAACAGTTTCTTCATTCCTTACATACGCTTATGAGATTTTTATGCCATTTTACTCTCAGGCTACGTCTAGACTGGCATGATTTTCCGGAAATGCTTTTAACGGAAAAGTTTTCCATTAAAAGCATTTTCGGAACAGAGCGTCTAGATTGGCACGGATGCTTTTCCGCAAAAGCACTTTTTGCGGAAAAGTGTCCGTGCCAATCTAGACGCACTTTTGCGCAAAAAAGCCCTGATCACCATTTTCGCGATTGGGGCTTTTTTGCGGAAAACAAAGCTGAGCTGTCTACATTGGCCCTTTTGCGCAAAAGTTTTGCGCAAAAGGACTTTTGCCCAAACGGGAGCAGCATAGTATTTCAGCAAAAAGCACTGATTTCTTACAGTAGGAAGTCAGTGCTTTTGCAGAAATTCAAGCGGCCAGTGTAGACAGCTGGCAAGTTTTTCCAGAAAAGCGGCTGATTTTCCGGAAAAACTGGCCAGTCTAGACACAGCCTCATTGTATTATGAGAATGTTGTTGAAGAAAGGATTTTCCACCTTTAGTTAAACATCAAAACCAAAAAGAAAATTTCTGAGGGCTTACCACAGGAGTTTCAACAGGTACGGATGGCTGAACTTGAAGGTTTACTGCAACAGTCTGTGGTGGTGGAAGAGTCTGAAATGGCAGTTGGACCAAAGCTTCTGCAGCAGGAAGCTCCTCCTCAGAAACCAAAGTATTTTGCACCAAAACCTGGCCCTGGGATAGAATTTCAGGCTGCATTTGTAAAGATTGCACAGACTGCAAGGGCAGTTGTTGAATCTGGGTTGGAGATGTTGACAGCTGTGGAGGGGTTGCAACTGGGAGTGGCACAGACTGTAAGGTTGGATATTGCTGGTGTGGTGTTGGAGACACTATCTGCTGGCTCGGGGACATCAAGTTCGGCTGATCTATTGGCCCAATGTGTACTACTGAGGAAGGTGATACTGTAAGATGGGATGGAAGATTAAGCTGTTGTGCTCCTGGTCGTCCTGGACTAGTAGTGGGCTGCTGTGGGTTCTGATCTGACTGTAGAGTTGATGGTATAAGAGGATGTGATTGTGCCTGAATAAGTGCTTGTGGATGAATAATTATGGTTGGTGACTGGCTAGGTGAGTGAGCAGGTGTAGGAGACACCACTACTGACTGCTGAGCTGACTGGGATGGAGTAGGAGACACTGTTAAAGGAGAAGGATGGATGTGAACTGGTGAGCAATGTTGTGAGTGAACACTATTGGCAACTGGAGGAAGACCATGGTTTTGGAGTGGAACATAGTGTTGTGATGAAGGTGGTTCCTGATTGGGAGGAGTCTGAAGTGTGATTGGCTGAACTTGCTGCTGCTGCTGTAGTATCAACTGATGATGGGAAATCTTTGGAGGTGGTGAATGAAGAGGTATTTGCTGATGTTTTACTAGAGAATGAGGTTGAATTGCAGAATATGAAGCTGTGAGGGGGAAAAATTACAATTAGTATTTGTTTACTTAAGTTCAAAGAACATTCCAATAAATATTTAAATAAGGAAATTTTTCACATCAAATGATTAAATTCAGCACAGAACTTGACCAAACAACTTAGAAAACTTTAGAAAATACTCTCTTCAACCATATATAGAGTCTCAAAATATAACACGTGAACAGAATGAATTCATTTTGGTAAATTCTAATGTGAAATCCAGCAATGAACAATTAAACAAAACCATGCTTGTTTTATATGCACTAATGCTTCCATAGAAAGACATATATCTTTCTGTCATTAGTTCTCAAACTACTGTTAATAAAAGACAGAACTATGTAGCACTTTAAGGACTAACAAGCTACATAGTTCTGTCTTTTGTTTTAGCTAGACCAGACTAACACGGCTGCATCTCTATCACTACCGTTAATAAGACTTCTTTTCATCTAAAAAAAAAATATCCCACCCTCTATTTTCAAAAGAATAGCATTTACAGCTACCTGTTTTAAAACAGGCATAATATAAAAGTAGTAAGTACTTTAGCATTAATAAGGTTTGATTAAAAGTTCTAATTTAATGTTGGTCAATGCTATTTCAAAATAGGTTTTAAAAATAATGGGCTGAAAAAGTTTTCATTTACAACATTTATATTGAACCTGTAAAAGTGTGAGTGTCTGAAGTTATGCAAAAAAAATAATAATTAGGCATCTAAAAGTGGCCTCATTTTCAGGCATGTGTACTCCCCTTCCTCCAAAAGGAGCAGATGACTCCTTGTCATAACTGCCTACAACAGGAAATTGAAATGCCGAGGATTTACCTCTGGTTTGACACCTGGGACTTTTTCCTTCTTTTTCTCCATCCCTCCCCCCCAGCCCTATCCATTTTCTCTTTCATTTGAAAAAATATCATTTGATATCTAATTTTTTAAAGAAGGGGATGGATTAATTTCCCAATTGACAACAATGGGGGTCAAAAATTCAAGAGCCCTCTATCTTGCAGACTTTCTCTTGCACCAGTCCTACTCAGCTCATTTACAATAGCAAACTTCCTACTCTTGAACTAGCAGAAATTCTTAAATTAAGGGCAATCTAAGGGCATAGTCTTGGATTGGTTAATCTCATCTTCTATTTCACCAAGTTTTCTTCCCCTTTTGTTTGTGTCACACACTTTCTTAACTTATTTTAAACCTCAGTACATAATAAACTCTCTGAGGCAGGGACAGTCTACCTATGAGTTCATGCGCTGCTTAGAACAATGGTGTTGTGACCATGAATGGGTCTTTGGGTGCTAAAAGGACTGAAATATCACAACAACTAAGCTGGACAATATACACACACACACACACACACGTTTTTGCATTCTTTTTCTCCCTCTCCTCCCATTCTCTGTGAAGGCACAGAAAATTAAGAGAGACAAATATTTTAAGCCCCACAGAAAGTAATTATCTTCAAATGATTTGAGATCTCAAACATTCAATGACTATTTGAGGCAAGACACTTGTTTGTGTGTTATAACTAACAAGGTGAACTTTAACAACCTTTTTAAAGCTAAAGCTTCATCGCACCTGGTGCTATTAACTGATGTATACTTGATGTCCGTGTGACAGATGTACTTCGACACTCAGAAGTTGGGCTGTCTCCTTTTCTGTTGCTGTCTGGAGAATCCGGTTGGCTGGCCTTGGTACCAGTTACAGTTTTATTAGTACAAAGAGACAATGACTGAGCCTGACTACTGTTCTTTGGTGGGCCATTCTGTGAACTACACAATACACCCAACTTCTGACTGCGCAATGTTAAGTTCTGAACCTGAGAAAAGAACCATATATGAAAATGTATAGATAGAAATCTAATATGTTAAAGTCAAAGACAATAATTATCAAATGTATAGGATGTATTTCATCAAATGATACCAAGATATCTGTAAAAAATAAAAATTACACAAATTTAGCATCAAAGTATTTTATAGATCACATAATTTAAAGTAAATAAGGCAACTATTCAGTTCAGCTTTAAACTGGTGACAAAGGAAACATTTTCAAAGTGCTGTTTTTAAAAGCTTTATGGAGCAAGCATCCATTTGCTCCAGACTTTTGAAAAGAAACTAATTTTTGGAAAACACATTTTCTCTAATTTGATTTTAAATCTGACAAATTGCTCCCATATTGCTGTTTCTTCACAATTTTCAAGAGATACATTACTGAATTACCAACATACATATATATAAAAAAACAAAACAAAGAGGTTGTTTAATTTTAGTCAGGGACATATGTTCTGTGCCACACAACAGGACCATATTCTTCTGAAAGCACCCTTTAATTCAGTGGTGAGCCGTCTAAGGCTATGTCTACACTGCAGTGCTATTTCGGGATACTGGAGGAATCCCAAAATAGCTATTCTGTGTCTTTTGAGTGTGCTGTTATTTTGAAATATAACAGGCTCGTTATTCTGACATCACTGTAAACCTCATTCCACGAGAAAGGACATTTCAAAATAGCGATTTATTTCGAAATAAATGCTGTGTAGACAGTGCCAAATTTCAGAATAAGCTATTTTGAAATTACCTCGAAATTGCGTAGCACAAATTGCATCGCTTATTTCAAGTTAAGAATACAGTGTGCAACATTAATTTATTCAACCATAATGAAATACCTTTTATTCCCACCGTGGTCCACAATATACACAGCTTTGTTTCATGGAACATAAAATTAGTCAATGAATCTTTCTGACAATTGATTTTTCTGTTCTGTTCCCTATCTCTGCTCATATTTTTCAGCTCCCACAATGTTATCTAGGTAATCCAGCTCAGAAGCTCTTTCTCTGCAGTACATGAAAGAGCCAGAAAAGAGAATAGGTAGCCAGCTTCAAGAGCTCACATCTGCAGCTCTCCAGCTGTTGCTTGTTGTGCCATTCTCCATGCAACCACGTTTAATGATCCTTGATTATAAATGGGACTAATCTGTTTCCTCTATTCCTGGCTGCATGGAGAAGTGTTCAGGCCCTGCTCTCACCAACATCCTAGTCCTAATGTTCCCTTTCAACTCTGCCTGGAGCAGAGACTCTTTGGAGAATTTAGCCGAGAAGCTCTAGCTAATCTCTAGTGAGAATGTGAAAACTGATTTTCTTCCCAAAGGCTTATACTTTGGCCAAATTTGAGTGGATTTTCACAGGGACAGCAAAAGGTACATCTTTTATATAAAGATTACCCACTTTTAAGTGCCTGTTCCAACGCATGTGGACTCTAGAGATTATCAAAGAAAATGTTTCTCAAGAATTTTCTTACCAGGGCAAATCAACATATTTTTCTTGGAAATGGCTGAAATGTTTGGACTGAAATTTCAACACGTGCATGCACATGGAAGCTTGGGGGAGACGCCCAGCATGGAAAATTTCAGCTCAAATGGTTAAAATTTTGCAAAGTTATAAGCAACTGAAAACAGGTATCATGCAACATTAATCATAGGTAGCCCTACATATCCACTTGCAATAGCCAATCCTTTTGTGAATCCTATAAAGACCTTAGTCTCAAAGATCTCATCACAATTTTGAAGTATTTTCTTTTACTCATTTCAAATGTGTTCTTTTTAATTCCATCTAATCTCTCCTTGATCCCGTTTTATGAGAAAGATTAAGGAGCCATGCCCAATTTACCTTTGCTATATACTGTTCACTATTTTATACATCTCCGTGTTCCCTACTATTCCTCTAGTCTTCTCTTAACAAACCCCACATTTTCATTCTCTTATCCTTCCATAAACATTTCCATGCTTGTTGTCATTTTGGTTGCCCATCTCTGAACCCATCCTGCTACTGTGATGTTTATTTTGGGATTAATTATAAGAACTAAAACACAGTATCCAAAACAACTGGGTCACTTTTACCTGGATACCTATGCCTAACTAACTACCTATGCCTAACTTCAGCCAGCCACAACCTATGCCTAACTTCAGCCAGCCACATTTATCAGTTTGACATTAAGCGAAAATAGATATATGCATGGTTACCAGGCAAAAAAAGGTATTTTCCTCATATCCAGTGAACTAATGCATCAAAGAAAAAAGGTAAATACTATTTCAAAATATAAATGATACTTAAGATTATTTCATTTAGGAGAATATTCAGTTACGTTAGTGTTTCCAGAATTTTGTCACCTTTTAATTCTTATGGAAACTTTATTTTTTAATCTCCTAGATCTAAATGAGGAAACTACCTGTACTTCATCAGGGTATTCCCCTCTGTGAACCCTATTTCTATGTTATCTACATCTAGTATCTGATATTATACCATAATTAGTTGCTAAGTACTGGACAATATTTTTGCATCAATGGTTCATACAAGTATGTTATTGTGTATGGCGCAGTCAATAGGAAAGGCAAACTGAGCTGAAAAAAAATCACATCATGGAAGGAAAAATGCTGCTGCTATGATTATTATACAATATACTTAACTGCTAAACAGTGACAGACATGTGTCTGACAGTGACAGATATGTATGTAATTATGTGTAGTATAATCATGTCTAAAGGACCCATCATGAAAAGCATGACACATACAAATAGTAAAGCACGTCCCCAAGGACCTCAGACAATCCAAACAAAAGATGAAAGAAAGGAAGTGTTACCATCCCCAATTTAGAGATGGGGAAGTGGGGATTAAGAATCTGACTTGCCTGGGATCAAACATGAAATCTGTGGTAAAGCTGAGAACTGAACCTAGATCTCCTGAGTACCAGCGCAATGCTTTGAGCACAAGGACCATCCACCCTTTCCAGAGAGCTATAAGCCATACAATAATCTACAAACAGAAATGTCATCTGGGAGATTTAACATTAATCTCACAAAACTATAGTGAATATTTTATAGGGAACAATCCTGCACTGGCAGAGAGATCAGATGACAAGATGTCTTTGTATACTGTCTACAATTTGTTAATTTTTGAATCATCTGAAAATGGGAGAGAGTGGTTTTATAATATTCATCACACTGTATTTTAAGAGGGAAAGATACATGGACTGGTCATAAAGAGAAAAAAGAAGGAAAATAAAAAAAGGGAAAGATGAAGAAAAAAGAAAATGAGAGAAAAGCAAGGAATGGAAAGAGAAATAAGACGTTTTTCAAGTCTAGAGGTTTTTTTGTTCAGCCATTGTTGGGGAGCTATGATCTTTGTGATGTCATCATCTTAGGGGAAACACCATGACACTACCACCATCTTCATTCTAAACTCCCTCTTCTAATCAAAAGATAACCTCTGTCCTATACTATCAATATATCCAGAAAATGCAATTTAATGCAAGTTTCATTGCTAAATTGGGCTCATGCCTTGTTTATGTTTACAAAAAGTTTTTTGCTTATAAGGAAAACAAAATAAAGTCTCCATTCCCTCAGATCACATCATAAAACACCCTCCAAACCCAAATGACACAGATTTAACACAGGCTAAAGGAAACATTTATAGTAGCCCACTTTTAAAACATTGCCAACGCATCATTGGTTGTTGGTGAAATTGGTTCTTTGTGACATCACTGCTGCTATAGAAACCATGAGTCAACAGTGGTAAAGAGCCCATCTGGCAGTAGAAGAGCATGGAAAGCTGAGAGAGGAGGCAACATCTCGAGTCTGGCAAGGTCATCAAAAGCACCGCAATTGATAAAAGAACACTTGACGGTCCTGGGCACAGTCCTATTATCAACCTGCAACTATGTCTCAGGAAGTTGACTGGTTACATAGCCAGGCAGGTGTGTGTAAAGTAGACCTCTACAACCCTGATGAACAGAAGGACCAGGACCGGAAAGTGATCTGTTTTGTTGATGTCTCCAGCCTGAATGTAAAGGACAAAGATTCAAAAGCAAAGAAAGCTGCTAGCCATGCCAGCAGCATCTCTGAACCTTCAAATGAACTTGATCTGGGGAATCTGGAGGAAAAGGAAGTCATTGTAATAAAGGACAATGAGAAACATGATCATTCTAAGACTGAAGGAGCAGTATGTCTTTTTAAACAAGGTTCAACTGATGAACTCAGTGTTGTGAGCTGGCTCAACAATGACCTTCAGAAATATGCAGTTGGATTCCAGCATGCACTGACCCCTTCAGATGCTCCACAGAAACGCAAAGGCAGTGAAACCTTCAATGATCCATCATTGTCCCAGAACAGTGATACATCTTTAAAGTCTGCTGGTGCCCAAAAGGGAAAGA